ACACACGTCTCTTTGTAATTAATCTATACATTTTCTTTTAATTTGTAAACTAACCCTTTCATGCATAGTGGTCACTGCAGTGGACAGCTATCTAAAAAAAATTTTTCTGTGTTTCTTGAGGATTTTTATGTGATAAATACACACAGACCACTGAAGTGGACATTAGTTCATCATAAAATACACAGTCAACTTACTGGCCATCAGCTACAAGTGCAAGAAAAGTTTTGTTAAAAACAACTCAGGAATATCCAATGTCAATGTCAAATTTATTTATATAGCACTTTAAAACAGGTATAAAACTGCACCACAGTGCTGTACAAGAACGACAACACAAATGACAAAACAGAGTAAAAACAATACATCAATTAAATGCCAAAGAGTAAAAATGAGTTTTAAGAAGTGATTTAAAATGATCCAGGCTGTGGGCAGATCTAATCTGTAAAGGTTAGATCTGCCGTCCTTCTATTGCAGAGAACTGGAGAAAAAAAAAAAAAAAAAAAAAAAAAAAATATATATATATATATATATATATATATATATATATATATATAAAGTAACCCAGTATTGTATTTGTATTTTCCAAATTACAACTTTGTATTTGGAGAAAATTACAACTGATGACCTAGAAAAAATTTTTTTAAAAAAATGTTTTTTTTCCCGCTTTTTTTTAATGCCTTAAAAAAAATCAAAAACACTTCAGAAACAAATCCTGACACAATTTATGTAGGAAAGGGTTACGATACTGTATTTAAGTAAAATATATATTCAGTAATATAATAATCTGTTAGATGCAGCTGTATATTCAGAAGTGTTTAATATCTACCTGCTCCATTCTTCACAGTCAAATCATTCCCAAACGGGAATCCACACCACTGGTGTCAAACGTGCATGAAAAAGTATTATATCACTATGCATATAGCTGGTGGCAGGCGCTCTGAAGGGCAACGCTGTTTCTTTTTCCTATCTTCAATTCTGTTCAGACGTATTGATGCGTCTTACAAAGCTTTCCGTGGCTGAAGTCCAGTAGTCTGTTAAATCTTGGGCCACTTCAGCATGATGCAGTCAATGTGCGTGAACAGCATTCACTGGTGCACATCAATTTCTGAGATTCATCTCAGTGCTCCCAGTGGGCGCTCAACTTTATTTTTCTGCCTTGTGGGGTTCTTCATAGCATAAATCTGACATTGAGTCTTCATATCCAGCATCTAGACAGTGACCATGGCAACAGATTTATTTGAAAACTATTTAAAAATAAGCTAAAACTGAATTGTATCAAGGGATTTAGAGGAACTAAAATATATGCAAAGATTAAACTATATTGAATTTAGTTCAAAATTCACAAAAAAAAAAAAAAAAATTCATAAACAAGACTCCATTTCAAACTCCAGCGAACACACGGTAATTTGAAACCACCGATTAAAGAAGCGATGCGGCCGCCGCGTTGCTGAACAACTCCCAGAGCGAGCCATTAACAGGCAACAATTAGTTTCTATGCGAGCGTGCGGTTCCGGTGGGAGCGATTAGTCCGTCACAAGGTGTTTCACGGCACAGCAAAGAAGTCGACCCATCTGGGTCAGGAGGAAGGGGAGTGAAGCAGGTGTACTCGCCCAGAGGGGAGCTTCAGGTAGGTGGGCAGGCAAACAGGCATTTGACACCCTTCTAACCACATGAGGCCTCAGAGGTTGACAGCTGGTGCTGCACGATGCATGAAAAGTCATTGTTTCACATGGAGAAGATGGACTGCAGGTGATGCAGCTGCTATTTTTAACCCGGAGGCTCCCTGCAGGAACAAATGCTCCATTTAAGTCTTTCTTCTATTTCTCTGTTCTTCTGCCTACAGAGATTTGTTTCCATTAGCAATGGTCCAAAATCAGTTCTTCACCCACTTTTTTTAATCTAGTTACTTTATGTTGCGCAAAACTATTGATTGCATTGAAAGAAATCATATTAAGCTTAAGTGGCAATTGTGGGTTTAAAAAGTCCCTGAGCCACACTGAATCATTTTTCCTTCATTGTTAGATTAGTAATGATCAAGTAGAGTGTTTCTTTCTTTGCCATTTTTTTATTATTATTTTGACTAAAGTTATTTATTTTATTTTACCCTTTGAATGTTATGTGAACTGGCAGTATAAAGGGACAAACTAGATTATGTAAGATTGTTTATACTTTAAAGAACGGAAACATTTGTAGTTTGCTAAGGTCAGCATCTCTGTCACTTTTAAAGCTTTTTTTTTTCTAAAAATGGCACCTGAGGCACAGCTCAGCCAGGTGGCTATGATTTATCTCGTGACCAACTGGGAATAAGGGAACCTTTATTGTCAGAGCCATGAGGCTGCTGCTCTTATGGGGTGTTAAGAATTCAATGAATGTGAAACAGGAGCCATTTCTCAGGTCATAATAACCGTTCCATCTTGTAAAATTAGAAATTTAAAACTGAGCATGTCCATTTTCTTGGTTGGACTGACAATAGAGCAATCACAGTCACTGTCAAACTTTCAAACCAATAATTGTTCCACCAGCTCAGCATTAGAGGCTAAAATGTCCCCTGAATCAGTTGAATAGGCCTAAATTTACAAGTACAGCAAAATGTAGGCTTTTTGAAAAAGAAGAAAGCGAAAGCTCATCAAGCAAATCCTTAAAAGGGAACTGAAAGGAGGAGGACGAAAGCCTGTTGTGTTCCCCAGTTTCGTTTGAATATCAACGAGTCCTTTGTGCCTCAAAAGTCTTCCAGTGTGGACTTTAAAGGGCCACTTGAAAAGGGCAATTTTACCAGTAAGAGGTTGAACCAGCCATGAAGGAAAAAGAAAACGCAGAACTAAAAAGTTTCTGATTACACTCTTGCAGTTTTAGTTTATTTTTTGTATTTTGTGCGGGTTTAAGGAGACATAATTGTTAGTTTTCACACAGTTGCAGTGGAATTCAATTGACAGCTTGAAATAAACACATTATTATTGCTTTTACCAATAGTGGTCAGGAATGATCCGTCTGGGGTTGTAGATTATTTTTAGAAAGGTAGACTGACTCTAAGCTGTAATCATCACAGCGCTTACACTTTTATAGTGAAGTTTATTCGAACATTTATTCATATTTCAGCATGAACGCCACACGATTTCTTCATTAGTACCAATATTATGGTCAAACTTATACTAGACTAGAAGTGCAGCATTACCACACTTTTTTTTGTGTGACATAAACATAAATGAGAAGATATGCATCACTCTCATGTCATTTTCTTACAGGGACCACATTGCATTTTTATTTTTCCTCAGAATCAAGACTGTAACAAGGCAACAAAACATGTTTTGATTTAATATGACATAATATACCTGGAAGCATCTGAATTATACAAAACAAGACGAATAAGCAGCAACCAGTTGTGCAAAACAGCCTCATCAGCGTATCTGTAGGGGGTTGTGTGTAGAAAGTTTCTGTGGAGATAACAGAATATTTACTTATAAATATTGCAACATTTGTTGCTGGTTAAAGGAAGTAGAATATTACTTACTAGCTGCATTTATGAGCTACGCATCAAGTTCATGTTTATTTTTGTTGCAACTAATAATGTTTGGCACAACGAGCAGCAGTTTAAATTCCAGTAAATTTTGGTTAATGACTGAATCAATAAATTTGCATGAATTTGGATTATGATGATGTATGGTAGTTGATACCTAGATTTAGTTAAAACTGGAATTTTGTGGCTTTGCTTTTATGCAGTGATTCATTTATAGTCTTCTAAATCATGCAACCATTTTAGGGGAAATAGGTGAAATACTTTTAGTTCTACAGATATATTTCTGTATTTAAACTGCTTTGTAATATTCTTAACTTAGAATTGTGATTTTTTTTTAGCACAAATGATCATTATCACAAAAATGAAAGGTTTGAACACATAAGTCTCTGTGTAATTAATCTATAAATTTTGTTTTAGTTTGTAAATTAAGTTGTTATATATATATTTCTTATATATTCTGAAGTTTTTCACCTCTTCCAGTCACAGCATTCTCAAATATGCAAATCAAGATGAATAATCCGCATCCTCTATTGCAAAACAGGTTTGTGTGCAGAAGGTTCCTGTGTAGGTAACAGAATATAGGATTTTGTTTTTTACTTGTTATAAATATTGCAGGATTTGCTGATGGTTAAAGGAAGTAGAAGAGGAAAAATCTATGTTGCTCTGCATTTGGGAATCACTGATAGAAACACAGAAGTAGGGAGGGACTCGGTCTCTGGGGGGAGTCCTTGCGTGATGTAGGAAACTACTATTTCGACCTTTAATAGTCACACCAGCCCGCATGCATGCATCTCTTAACCTCTCTCACATCAGGTGTCCATGTAGAGCCAGAGGCCATGGAGAGTGCACACACACACACATGCACACACACACGGTCTGCTGCACGCTAAGGGAAGCCGTGGGTGTGGGGGCTTCTTTCACTTGTCAACAGGATGAGGAGCAGGGGTGATAGAAGCTGGAGCATTACTCTCCTCTGGCCTAGCGCTGGGATTTCCTCAGCTGTACATAGAAGGAAAATGCAGCATTATATGAATAGATTTTTACCCCCCATCCTCTCTTCAAAAATACTTTGCTGGCCTCAGCAGGGAAGTCTGTGAGGAAAAAGCATGAAGACTGGATTTGCATTGAATTTCCTCCATTCTGTGTGTGTGTGTGTGTGTGTGTGTGTGTGTGTGCTTTTTATTCGTGTGGATCTTTGTTTCACTTGAGTGTATTTTCCCTCTCCCCTCCCACAGGGCAGCAATAACATTAACAAAGCATCTTGATGCACTGTAATTTGTTGATACAGGGCTTCTTTGTGTGTTTGATGCCTTTTTGAAGCAGTATTATGACTGCAATTTAATAATCCCAGCCTGCCATTATGCATTTGGATGTGTGTAGATGCCTGCGCTCGCTTTCTCTTTGGATCTTTCCTGTGGCCTGGTTGACTGAGAGGTTGGAACTCGTTGTGATTTGTCCTTCTTCCCCCAACCCACTGTGGTCTGTGCAGGGTGGAAAGGAGCCAGCCAGTCTGCCCACCAAACAAGCTACTGCTGGAAGAGTGCCTGTCTGCGGAGCAGGTGCCCACTCCCGAGCTCATCCAGGGCTACGTAAAGAAGGTAGGACTGCTTGGCAAACGCCAAGCTGAAGGCTTTGTCAGTCCACGCTCCGCTAGAAAGGAGGAAGCAGGAAGAAAGGATGATGGGGGGAAGTGGAGGCTGGATAAGGGCTCATCGCCTAAACTGGGGAAAGTAACAGATTGTTTTCTGAGAGTGAGTAAAATACCTCCAACTCAAATAGTGCATAAAGAAAAATGCCAACATGTCCCACTGTGTGAATGCTGATGGAGCAAATATATTCATGCAGATGAGACGTCTGAGCAAACAAATTTCCACCAGAAGTTTGTAGTACCTCCCTATAAGGTGGAAAAACACAAATACATCCACACATAAATTTATAAATAGTAATGTGAAATACTTACTATGCCAATTAATATTTGATGAATACTTAATAGAAAAGCTTTTTTTTCTTGCTCATGACAACTTTAAAACATCTTTATGGTGAAGCTTGTTAAATGCATTGATTTGGTAAAATCTTCACTCTCTTCAAACTTCTTCAATCTTCAGTTTTGGAAATCTTACATAATGACAACAATGGTCTTATTTTGCCGAAAGTGTTTTGTGTGTGTGTGTGTGTGTGTGGGTGTGTGTGTAAATCTGTTAAATGAAGAAAATCATCCTTTGCCAATAAAAGGTGGTAATTTTTATGCCAGAATCACTTTTGGCCAAAATGATTTAGGAAGGTGATAATCAAATTTTTGTAATCAGTTTTCAGCCTTATCTATCACTGAGTGGGCCCCTGCAACATCTTTATTTTATTTAACAAAACTAATTGAGTGTTTCCAACTGAGCCGTAGGGATCTCTGTCTGGCTGAAGAACTCATTCTTTTCAGATTTGTATAGAAAATTTTCAGATGAATTTCTTCAATTCTTCCTTATTTTACAGTTATACGAAGGCTAACAGCACTGTTTGCATTTTAAAGTCCAACATTTAAGACGAAAACAGCTAATTATAACTTGCAGAGATTGAGAGCAGGATTGTTTTCTAAATCCTGACAGACTTTTTGTTTTTTGATTTCTTGAGCTTTTTATGCCTTTTCACATGTGAATAGCCCCTGCATATTTAATGCCATGTAACAATACCGACATGTTCAAAACTAATTTTCCCTGTTTTAAGTTTGAAGTGTTTCAGGGAATCTACCACATAGTTTCCAGCTGAAGGCCAGATTGTCTGTGAACACTTGGGGTTAAGCTTGCAGTAAAGTACATTATTTTAGAAGAGTGACAGCATAATAGTTATTTTATGTAATTGGTACTTTAAACATAACAAAACATGGGGGAGGTGGCAAAGCGTGGGTACTCCAGGAGATGTCAGTAATAAATTAAAGAGGGAACTCTAAAGGCTTTGATTTTGTTGCCAGTCTGGCTAAATGTAGATCCCTCCGTTTTTGTTCCAGAATAGCCATCAGCCTCAAAGATAACAGGTAAATCACAGTTTTCATCATGTCAGAGCCCCAGTGTTTTAGCTGTGAATTCATCCGATTAGGGTCTAATTCACAGCAGTTTATGCATGATTAGATGCAGGGGAATCAGTGGGAAACAAGGCAAGGAGCATCCAAAGAAGAGGAAAAGAGAGGTTAGCAAAACAAGAAACAAACCTAGAAAAAAATGAAAACAGATTTTAGATTAATTCAAATAATTTCCCTGAATTTGTCAGGTGTGTTACTCAGACAATATGATGTGAAATTTTTTCCAATTATTTCTGCTCTGATTTGATCATGATACTAATAATCCAATTAAGAAAATATGAAAACAGTTGTGGAGATTTTTTTTTCTAAACATTTATCTTGATTCATTTGGAAAAAAATTAATTATTCTTTTGGTTTACAGCAATTATATTACAATATAAGAATTTAAAAAATGTTTATTTTACTTCTCTTGAGTTAGCCAAGACACTGGGAAATTATAGCTTTATCTTCCTTTCTATTGGAAACTATCAATACTGCTGAATTTGTGAATAATGCAAGTGACATTACAGTATTCTAAGAAACCAACTGGATTTCCTTGGTATTTTTTAAAGTGATGCGAAGGAAAAAAAAAAAGCTCTCTAGAGGTCTTTAGACGTTTGACGGCCTTTTCGCTCACTTTGTTTATATTTTGCCATGGCAGCATTGTTCAGCGTGTGTTTTAAAAAACTAAAAATAGACAACAAAGGCATAAAATGAAGTGTCGAACTGAAAAATCGAAGTATATCTGGAAGCCTTCAAGGACTGTCGGTGATGGCATGCTAAATAATTTCTGTGCAAGACCATTTAAAAAAAAAAAAGAAGAAATTACAGCAGGTCATTGGCCTCTTAAAATACTTGGAATTCAAGTATTTCTCAAATATGTGATGATAAAACCATAAATTTGATCAGATGTTAAGTGCTGAAATCTATTCCACAGAAATACCTTCAGAAAGCCTTGAGAACTACTGATGGAAGCTGCTTTAAATGAATAAAGAGCAGCCGAGTGCTCTGGAGGTGTAATGTAAAGACATGAGAGACGAATCCTCACTTTTCCATATTAGCATAAATCTAGCATTAAGATATAGAACAGGGTAAATGTAGATAACTCATAGAGATGCATTTCTATGCTCAGGATAAAGTGATCCATTAAAAGACTCTGTGGGATGAGAAGCTGCATTCTGTCTTAATAAGGCTTTAAAACACAGCATAGTGTTCAAAAACGCTCCTTTTATGTATCTGAGCATATTGAAGTAGATAAAATGGATACAATAATGGTGTTTTTTTTTTTTTTTTTACTCTGGATGAGATAAAAGTAGAATAGAGATTTTTGAATCCCTTTCTGATGATTTAATAATAAACTGGCTGTTTAGCTGCTGTTGCTTCAGTGATTGCACTGCTGCAAAATAGTCAGTTTGAAATGGCACTTCAGATGATATATATGACATAGCTTCTGGTTTGTTTTATTGTGGAAATGTTGCGTCATTATGATTCAGAGCTCCTGCCTGGTCTGTGTTTTACAGACCAGGATGGGCTTTTAAAGGTTCTCCCCCGAACCCTTATGTACATTTTGCCTTTCGATTAGTCATGCAACCACAGTCCTGTAGGACCTCATTAGTGTTGGTTATCATTTTAATCTTCTGAGCTGCAGGAGGAACAGGAAGCCTTGCTAGAAATCTATTAAATAGGAAGTGGACATGGATGAGTGGCTGAGGAGTGAGAAACAAAGAGTGTTTTCCTCTGCGTTTGGTCTTGAAGTCCTTTTCCCCCCGCCCCTTCCAACACTTTTTCATTCTTCCTCTCATTTATCTTTCCTTTATTCTCCTTACTGACGTAGTCTCTGTCATTATCATTTCAGCTTCTTTTTCTGTCATCTCTGCCTGCTCCGTCTCTCTCCGGGGTTTTCATCCTGACCTTCAGACAGCTCCTCCTGGTGCTGCTTTAATAACTTACAGGGGAAATAGGAAATGTGGTCTCAAGTCAAAATTGAAATGGGGTTTTCACCACAGGCTGTTGATATTCCAGTGGCAGTACACGGTAAGCTACTCCCAGAATATTTTTCATCAAATTTGTGCCCTGCATCACTTTGGTTAATGAAGAGAAATGATGCGATTTCAACCTCGAAACCTCATTTTTGTGACCTAAGGACGATCCCCTTTGAGCCGGCGAAACCTCTCTGTTCATTTAGAATAAGAGGCTCAGAAAAATGCAAATCATTAATTTTACCCTTCATTTATTTTTCTATTCACGAGAGTCGATTTCACTAAAACCATTACTGCCCCCAAAATATTATCCTTTTAGGTTCTTTTAAGCTGCTTTACACTTATTTCTAATATAAAATCTTTGCTGTTTTTGGACACTGATTCATCCCTAATTATAACTTTCATCAGCCTAAATCCATGAAACTCATTTTATATGGTCTTCCTTCATTCTTAGTGCAGTGTATGAACTTACCCAACACAAGGGAAACCACAAAAGTGTTGATACTGATTGAACCAAAATGCAGAAAAACTTCCCCAATTCCAAAAAAATAAAATATTAACAGTGGATGGAGTTAATAAAATGCCTAAAAGGTCCAACATTGCAGAGATACTGACAAGAACTTCCAATAAAAGTAATTGTAAACAGGAACAACTACTGTTTGAGTTGAAGATTTCTTTGGTTAAAAATATCACAGACACAGTGATGTTCCTCAGGGTTCTGTTTTGGAGTCCCTTGTTTTCACTAATACAGTTCAGAAAAACATTTGTCCCCATTCTGACAATGTAATTATTGTTCTAATATAACCTAAGTGCAGGTAGACAGCAAATGTTTATTCTGCAGATTTAAATAAATTTACTTTGCACACAGAAATGTTGTTCCACAAAATTAATACCTCCCATTAAGAACTGACTGAGGGTTTTCTCCTAAGTTACAAATACTGGAAGAACTTTAGTAAATGTTTGGTGTATCAATTGAGAAAGTATTATGTAAAAAAAAAGAAAAAAAAAAAGAAATCAGTTCAAATTTGAGAAGCGTGATATAGATGAACAAAATTCTCTGCATTTCCAAATATCAAGAGCTGCAGTGACAAGTGTCATTAAGAAATTCAAGGAGAGTCACATGGCTCAAAACAATCCTGGCAGAGGTGAGAAAACTGGTGAGGGATGTCTCCACAAAGACCCTTTCAAAAGCAGCAAAATAAAAAAACGACTTATGCGAGTGAGACATATAGTCTCCCATAAGCTCTTCACAGGAATGGAAGACAAGGCTGCAAATCTACAAAATCTTCACTTCTGCAGAAGAGGCTCCTTCAAATCAGAGAGAAATATATTATTGAAACCCTGATGGTGTGAAAGAAGCATGTCCTTAAGTTAGAAAACACAAAATAAGAGGCATTGCTTATGTTTGGAGAAATAAAGGAGGTGCCTTTTACCCAAAAGACAGCATCCTCACAGTGAAAAATGGTGGTGGCTTCTGTGTATCTGGAACTGTGATTCTTGTCACAGTGAAAGGAATTATGATGAAAGATGAATGTGGGAAGGTTTTGGGAAAAAGAAAAATGTAATCAGAACA